ACGAAGTTGGTCGCGTTTTGGTCGAAACACCGCACTCAAGTTCCCGTTAGGCACAAGATTCTGCCTTGTTGGACCTGATCTGGAAGCTCCTGATGCATGAGCAAGGATGCTCAGACAGGCAGGCCTCACTGGCTCAGGGGGGCGCAGCTTCCACAACCAACAAGGGCGCTTACAGCTCAACGTCGTAGGGAGGAAATTGCATCCCGGACGTCTCTCAAAATTGTGCTGAGACCGATGGTTGCTGGTATTTATACCACTGAGAGGCCAAGGACTAAAGGATGTGGGCTTCTACAACATCTGCTCATCGATTACTCCTTCAGTTGCTGTCACTTGATAGGTTCAGATTTCAATTCACAATATTTCACCCATCAGCCCGCTTCATTTATTATACAATGCAGACTTCTCCACCGCTTAAGGTCACGAAGCGCAGGGCTCGGCCCGTGAAAGCAGTGCAGCCGAGCACAGCTTCTTCCCCTTTGGCACCGGCCACAACGGGGATGACGCCCGATCAGCCACCACGCCGAGCTTCAGTTAATGTTCCTTCTTGGAATCAATTCGCCGGCCCTAGTTGGACCCCAAATTCTGAGAAGCCTGATGAATCTGAGGTGGACACCCCGTCGAAGAAAAGCGTCCCCAGAAACAGATCAACATCTGCGATGTCGTTGAAATCGGCAAAACCTCCCCACATCGAAAGACCTGACAACCTTGGGCGAAATTCTGACGACCTTGGCAACTTCACTCGGGCTAAGCCATCTTTGCACAGTTCTTACACTTCCCCAAGCCTAACCTCTGAAATTGAAAGACGAAATCAACGGCCTGTCGTACAGGATCGAAGTGCAAGCGAGCAACCTTCAACGCCAGCAAAGAAGCTTAGCGGGCCCCAAATCGACCGCAAACTTGAGTTCATGATCAAGGCCGGCCCTAAGGCAAAGTCTGCGGGCTTCCTCTATGTACAAGTCACCCAGCCACGCGAGATCAACCAACGTCTACTCAAAATCGGCGTCACCAAATTCCTTCCAGAAAAGCGTGGCAAAGACATTCAGTACCAGTGCAAACACCCAGAGTTTTTTGAACATGAAGATGCACCAGCAGTGAAATTCTCCTGGAACGGCTTTGCCGAAAAGCTGGTCCACGCCGAGTTGACCAACTTTTGTCGATCATGGGCCTGCGGCTGCGGAAAGAAGCACAGAGAATATTTCGAAGTGAGTGATGAAATCGCTCTGGAGGTCTGGAGCAGATGGACAAAGTTTTGTGAACAGGAGCCGTGGGATTCCCAAGGCAGGCTGTTGCCAATGTGGGAACATAGACTGCGGCATAGAGTTCGGTTCACCGACTCAAAACAAGATTTCGATCATGGAGAGCTTGCCAAACACTGGCGAACATGTGTCTTGCCAAGTTCGATAGAGCTCCTCATAAACGACGCTCGGGTTCTCTGGAATCATATCTACCCCAATCGTTGGCATTTTGCTGCCGTGGCAGAGGCACTTACAATGGTTTTCATATGGCCAACTTCTTTCTGGACATCAATGTGGTGGAAGGTGGTTCTCGTTCTAGCCATGCTGGAGCTGTTTTGCCTGGACGGCATGTACATGAAGGAGTCTTTTTCCAGCCTTCTGAGTGGAAGTCTTCAACGCGTCAAACTTTGGTCGCTATCGGACTTGCCAGAGCATGGGCCCGACCTAGAAGCCAAAGATACCTCGCCAGCCGTCTCTTCTGAGCAGCAAGCTCAAAATGGGCTTCATGAAGATGCAGACACAGAGATGATGGAGGATGTTCCCAATGGCGAGGATGACGACATTGTTGATGGAGAGTGGGATGAGTCTGATAACAGCAGTGACGACGATCAGGTTATGGACGAAGATGTTCTTTCTGATCAGAGTCCCTAGGCAACCTCTACCAACTCACCACTGAGTAAAACCAAGCCTAAGCGAGTGATATTAGGCACAAGCTTCTTTCCGGATTACAGTAGTAGGCAGCGAAATTCCATAGTGATGGACTCCAACTGAGTCTCAGTATCTTGCCCTTAGTTCAAAGGAAATTTCAACTCCGTTTGGCCATTGCTACGTTGACTAATACTGCTCCTTGATAACTATGATAATAATGAGTCCGAGTAGAAGGGCCAAAAGTTTGAGTCTCACGGCTAGACATAATTGGAATTTGTACAACTATGTCATGATGTGCCGCCAAGGCAATATTAAGGAATTGTAAAACACCAGGCTTCCTTTCCAGTATTGTGAGGAAATTTGTCTGCTCTGAGTCCATGTTGATCATCGGGTGCTAGTTTACCCCGCTAGGCCGCCTAGCAAACGTCCCGCTTATTGTTTTGTACCTCTCTACTTCTTTTTTCCCAAAAGGGTAAAAGCCTAGCATAGGAATTACGTAGATACTGCCAAGATTGCTGACAGTCCCTCAACAGCACCCAATCTTCCCAATGGGGTTCGAAGCTGTGCCTTGTAGTCTGAGACAAGCAGGGCTGAATGCGAATCTGGCACTACGTGTAAGCTCACTGCGCATGCAATTTGTTTGCCAAATTGAGACTTTGGACGTCCTCTGTGGGCTCAGTCGGGCTCAGCTTTTCGTCGCCAAGGCGCCAGTTCCGACTTGATGGAGTAAGTTATTGCGATGATTTGACGAATCAGCCGCATAGCCTCGATCCTCTAACTTAGAACCTTGTTTTTTTTTGCTTGTTTTCTCGAATTGATAGCCACTATCCAGGCAGTCAATATCCTCTAGCCACTTCAAGCTGATCCTGTCATTATCGCTAACATCCATCTCACACCCCGTTGCACATATAAGAATGCAAGTCGGTGCAATAAAGGAGAATCATATCTCCTGAATATTCATTCACACATCACATCAAACCAATTCAACTCTGAAACCGGTCACCATGAAATTGCAAAGTACTCTAATCAGCCATCTCCTCCTGGGATCAGTCAGCGCCCTAATAGTACCGACTGAAGCCCATACCGCCCTACGGAGAGACGACCATAATTCTTCGGCGCCATCAAACCAGTCATCCATCCAATGGACAGAGTGTGACCTGGATTTTGGAGAGGCTGGCAACGCTATTTTTGACGCTATGCCGGAGAAATTTCAGTGCGCCAAACTCGAAGTTCCGCTGGATTATACCAGTCTCAGCTCTGGTGAAACCATCCAGCTCCAATTGATCAAGGCCAGCGCAAACAAAGAACCCTACATGGGGAGTATGCTGTGGAACCCCGGCGGACCAGGAGGCTCTGGCGTCGAGTCAGTTGCTGCTCTGGGGCTCAAATTGCGAAAGTAGGTCGTTATCAGCATCATTGCTTCTCATCTGCTAACTCACTGATTGTAGCATCGTTGGAGGAAATTACGATATCATTGGATTTGATCCTCGGTAAGTATCATGCCATTTTAGCACCCCGTCTATATTACGATCATAACTGACACATTTACAGAGGCACTGGCAAAACCATTCCATATGTCTGCAACGTGTCATCGGCTGAGACTTCTGTCACCCGACGTGATTTTGATACGCTACCCAAGGGTGATATCTGGAACAGTATCAAGACGGTAGACTGGGAACTCTGGAAAGTCACGGCCGATGCCTGCTTCAGAGACTATGCCAAATACGGCCGATTCGTCGGCACACCTTTCGTTGCCAGAGACATGATTTCGATCGCTGACGCCCTCGGTCAAGGCCCCAAGGTGAACTACTGGGGCGTCTCCTACGGCACCGTCCTCGGACAAGTCTTCGCTTCCATGTTCCCTGACCGCGTGGGACGTCTTGTCTTGGACAGTAACCTTATCGCCGACGACTATGCCGATACCACGTGGAAGACCGGCCAAAGAGACACAGAGCGCGCCCTACACCACCTCTTTGACGAGTGCGTCGAGGCTGGTCCTGAGGCCTGCGTACTGGCCAACTTCACCGGCGCCGACACTACCGGGGACAGCCTGATGAAGGCACTCGAAACTCTTCTCGAGGAGCAGATCAATGACAAAAATGACACCGCTAACGAGAAAGACGACATCGTGTCTCTCTTCAAGATTTCCCTGTTGGCAGAGCTCTACAAGCCGCTGCAATACCCTCTGGCCGTCGAAAGAGTCCACGCCGCCTTGACAGGCAACTGGACCCGCGCCATCGCCTCGGCAGCGAATGCACTACCGTCCGAATGGAACGAAGGCGGCACCTTTGGCGTCTGGGGCATCTCCTGCGCGGACTCTTCCTTCCGCGTCGAGAACGTGGATGATTTGTATTCTATCTACCGAACCCACTGGGAGGGTAGCTCTTTCGGCGAAGCCAGCGCCAGGCTGCGCATGCAATGCTCACGCTGGAGGTTCGATGCCGCGGAGAAGATCAACCTCAACGCTTTGAGAAACGTCAGGACCAGCTTTCCGGCTCTCATTATCAACGGCCACTGGGATCCGGTCACCCCCGAGAACACGGCATGGGAGATTTCTGCGCGGTTCCGGAACAGCCGGGCTGTTATTCATCACGGTGTTGGTGTAAGTACTTTGTGTCATTTCCCCCGCAAGTATCAATGCTGACATGTCTCTCAGCATGGTTATACCAATCACCCCTCTAGCTGCGTGGACAACATCGTCCGTGAATATTTCCAGAATGGCAAGATGCCCGAGATCGGGACTACGTGCGAGCCGGATATGACTGCATTTGAATATGTCGCTTCCCAAGCAAAGAAGGCAGAGGAGAGTGAATAGTCGAGGGGTAGTCTAGCATTTCGAGGCTTTGTAATTACTTTATGCATCTGGAGTGGCTGTACGTGCATCAGTGCAAGTAGAGAAGCTTTTTGCCCATTTCGCCACTAGGGACTTGGTTTCCTCCCTTGTTTGTCTGTTCACTTCTTCTGGGATCACTTCTTCTGGGATCACTTCTTCTGGGATCACTTCTTCTGAGATCACTTTCTTTTCTCCATCAGAGAGCATCATCATATTTATTCATTCCATCAGAAAACTTTCCTTCCCACGCTACTTGCTCCGGTTAGCTACGGGATTGTATAGTCTTACTTGAGAGTTTCCAAGTATCCCGCGTAATCCCACTTCTTGCCATCCCTCCAAAAGCCTTCCACCACCGGCCCATGTGGCGTATTACCGTCTACCGACACCTCATTCAGCCAACTCCAGTACGTCGTCGCCTTCCATCCATTAGTCTTCCAGTCATTGATATCCCTCTCCGGCTGCTTGTTGAAGACCGGCAACACATCCAGCAGACTTGCGTCGTGCGCGATGCAGACCATGACATTGTCCTTGATATCCAGCTCACGCATCTTTGCAACCGACTCGGTGGCCAGGTCAATATCTGTATAGACGGGGTGTTTACCTCCGCGAGGAAGCTCATACCAGGGCGTGGTAGACGCCGATTTTTCGTCCGACGCGTTAGGATGGTGGGGAGTAAAGTGAGAGCATGGGCACACGGCTTTGGACGCCCAATCTCTGCGCAATGCAATGGCCGAAGCGGGAATCCCATTTGGGAGCGGGGTCTCTTCCGACGGCCGGAAGACGCCCGCAAAATGGCAGATGTCACCGCCCAGAAAGACGAATGTGGCTCCCTCGGGGGACGAAGACGGTGTCGTCCGGGCGAGACCACATATGTGCTCTGGCTGATGGCCCGGAGCCTCAAGAAGGTAAAAGGAACCGTCGCCGAAGAAGTCTTGGGCTTTGAACTTGCCCACCATCAGACCTTTGTCGAAGTTGGCTTCCTCGAGCGGTCGGCCTTCAAACTCTGCTGCCGCCTGTGGATCATCTCTTCCCCCGGGTCTGCCTTTGGATGAGAAGTATCCAGGTCCAGTTACCAGAGTTGTTGATTTAGGAAAGACCGACACGTCTCCGCGGTGGTCAAAATGGGCGTGAGACCATATGCAGTAATCTGTACGGTCGTCTGTGAGAGAAGGCTCCTGGAAAGCAATTAAGAGAGAAAGGCTCTTACCAATCGACTTGGGATCTACTCCTCCATCCGCCAACACCTCATCAATGCCCTTGGGTACGCTCATGCCGAAGATCACGCTGTCTGGCCCCAGCACTCCTTGTTGAGCGCCCTTGGGTAGGTTCCAGTAGTCTTTTCGGACACCGAGATCAAACATTGCCTTCTTTCCGAGTTTCTCATGTTCGAGGAGGAAAGCTAGCGAGCAAAAGTTGATGACTTCATGCCCCTTCACGACTGGCTGAACGAAGGACTCGGCCACGCCGACCATGGCAGTTGTCGTGTCGACCAGCTTGACGCGCACGACATTGTCTGATTTTGGAATGTTGGCCATTTCGTCGATTTTGTTGATGAATCTGAGTAGAGTGGGTTTACAAACTATGGGACGACATAAGGGAGATAAAGAGGGGAGAGATGCCAGAGAAAGTTTCCTGAGCCGCATGGCGCCCCGACGTCATCGGTGATTATCAAATGAACATGTCTTCTCCACTTCCCCGGGTTTTTGCATCCAATGTGGAAAGCTCATTGCTCTATCACCACGCGACGTTGAAGGTGCAGGAAATACTTACCCGAAGGTGCCGCAAACCAGCCAGCCAGTGTAGAGTCGTGCCACCTGCAAGCCACAGCTGCAACTCCGTATCGTACCACCGGTATGAAAAAAAAGTCTCTTGATGTAATTTGTACAAATGTCTAGCGGGGAGTCGAGAGTCCCTAAAATGCAACCTTCCAAACGCCTGCGCGCGTGCCAAATGCTCTAATTTAGTAATATATCGTACCCGTCTCCCATGATGCGAACCTCTTCGCTGCCGAGACCGTACTTTCGTCGCACCAGTTCAAAAATGATCAATCCAGCGCTTGTGCTGGGAACTTGGCGGATGGTGTTCCACCAGAAACCGCGCCATAGCCATTTTCTCACGCCCAACCCTTCCTTTGCGGCCTCTGCGCAGCATTCTGACCAGGTCTCTTTGTAAGCCCGGTAGTAGGCCCTCGCCATCCTCCATCCGTCTTTACGGTGTGCCGGGTCGGCTCCCTTGGTTTCCCTCAATTTCGCTGCCTTGGCGTCGAGTTCCTCAAGGCGATCCCAGTGCTCCACTTGCACGTGAGTCAAGGGATGAAGAACAACTTGTTGGGCAAAGGATGCGCTGAGTCCTCCGAGAAGCAAGAAGATGGGTTCTATAGCGTAGTGCGGACGAATGATGAGAGGCTGCTTGTTGTCATCCTCCGGTTTACCATTCTTCGCAGGTCGCTTTTGGGCCATAAAGTCAACAATATGCTCTTCGAGTCCGCCGTAGTACCACGAGACGAAGCGGTAGTATCCTTGCGCCTTGACGTATTCGAAAACGCTGAAGAACACGGCTGCGCCGAAACTGTCCTTCATGAGGGAAAGACCCCATCCCGCGAAGATGCCACGCACACCAATCTCCCTCAGCTTCTCGGCACTGAAGGCCCACATGCTTCTGGGTTTCCCACCCTCCGTTGGCATGAGGTCGCGGTGATCATACCGTGCCTGGATGGCATCTAACGGTGCGGCGATGAAACTCTGGAGACTTCCGGCGAGAAGTCCTGCGGTGAAGGTCTGCGTCGGGTGCGGTGGTGGGTAGACAGTCTTTGTCGCCCTGCCGCTCCCCTCATGCAGGCTGCCAAGGATCGTGAGGTAGCTGGTATACAGCACGGCCCCGACGCCCACGTTTGCGATGAGCGGCGGCAAGACTTGATTCGGGAGCACGCTCCAGCCGTGCTGCTTCACCGCCGACGTGAGCACGCCCGGCGTGGTGCCCCGCAGATAGAACCATGCCTGGTTCAGCGTCGCCTTCAGCTTAGTCGAGGGCTCCTTGGCGGCGGCCTGGGCGAGCAGCTCGATCTGGGCCTGGTGCACACTGCGCGCATAGGCGAGGTAGTCGACGCGGGTGCGGAAGAAGGCCTTGACAGGAGCGCGGAAGTAAAATGCGATGGCCTGGGCGCTCAAGGCGCGCACGCCGGCGGCCGACGCTGCGGTTGCGGCGTTGCTGCGCGGGTTCTTGTCCGGAAGCTGGGCATCGGGCGGTAGGACGGGGAGGACGCCTGTAAACGGGTCGTATGTCGTTGTGCCGTCATCGAGACGTCGTGTCATTGTATACTGCTTTTCATCGTCCCCTACAGGTGAAATATCCTAGATGAGATTCAAGTCGGCAAAACTTGGCATCGGTTGAGATCGGTTCGCAGATTCTCGATGTGATGACTAAGCGCATCACCCTGGTAAAGTGGGTACCTTTATGCCGGACGTCTCCCGCCTGTGACTGTCAGCACGGGGTACCTAAGGCAACCACATGATATCTCCAGCTTGAGATCCCATGACAACCTTCACAGTCCAAGATTTAACTTTTAGGCCTTCCAGGAGAGTTCTTATATCAGCATGAAAAATAATTCTGTTTTACCTCTCAAATTCGAAGTCCCAAAATGAAGAGGGGGGGCGGGTTTCATGTTTTCGATAATACTTATTTCTCGATACGGCAGATAAAAGGAGTGATGTAACTTTTATACCAAACTGGGATCCGAGGTCACAAATTCTCTCTCTATCTATACACGCATGTCATCATGTTGTTGATGGTGTACATATGAGACATGACCGACAATACTCGATCTTGGATGATGGGAAAAGGCGTGTAGCTATCGAAAAGGTTTTATCGAATTGTTATAGACCTCAGAAGAGCCCTATCTTAGTCTGGACTCTAATAGTAATAGCAATCGCACTTATTGTCGGACGAGCGCCTGAAACTGTAAGTAGACAATCCAAAAATGATTCCGGAGAAGATAAACGCGCACCATCCCTTTGGGGTCCGGTCCGCCTCATTGGGGGCCATCTTCGCCTTCACGGGCAAGCTAGTCTATTAGGGTCAATATCGAGTTTCTATTGCGTACCTTACTTTAACAAGACTTCAAAACTAACTACAGCCGGCCACAGCCGACCTCGACTATCGATACTAACCAAACTCAAGATACTAATAACCCCGCCGCCGTAGCACATTAATCGCCCTCCGAATAGCCGAAAACTACCCCCTACTTTCCGCCTTTTTTAATAGCTCTAAATTTTTCCTTTTAGTCTCTCCGAATTTCTTATTTTACTATAGCGATACTAAAGTGTTAATAATACTCTTAAGTCTATTAGGTATATCGAGGCTATATTATATAAGTTCGGCGCTAATAATAGTAATACTTATAAAAGTATATACGTCTTTTTAGATTTTTAAATCGATAGTAGCTAGTTTATGCTCCTTTAGATAATTCTTTTATAAATTGGGATTATCGAGTATAATATTAATAAGATCGAACTACTAGCCCTTAAGGTATCCCTATAAGTCGACGAGTTAGCGTTTTAGTATTCCGAATATTCTTAAAGTAGACGGTTCGATAGTAATAGTAATAGTAATAGTATAATAATAATAAACGGTAAAGAAAATAGCGTTTTTTAATTTTAATAAAAAAAACGAGGTAACGAATATATATATATATATAAGTTAAAGTTAAAAGCGTTAGGGTAGATATTAGTAATAAAAAGGTCGGTATTATTCTTAACGACGGTAACGAGGGTATCTCCGATACTACTATTATAAGCTACTATACTTAGAAGGGTAGCTAACTTAGCTAGGTACGTAGCAGGCTCATAAAGTAGTAGCATTGGGCGCCTAGTATCGCCGTTAATAATCTTAAACTTTATAAGAGGGAAAGTTAAAAAGGTAGAAAATCTAAAAAAATAGTCTATTGAGATAGTAGGAGTATCTATTAATACTATATATTAATACTATATAATCGATATCGAGAACCGCCCGAGCAACCAGCAAAGGCAGAACATAAAATCAAAAACGCGCACCATATCTAGCATAGCCATGCTGATCGTTCTTATCAATGCACCATATTGCGTTAGTCAGGCGTTCTTTGAACTTGTCTATTTGATCCTGGAAACCAACCTGGCCACATCGCTGACCACAAGCCCAGCTGTCGTCGCCGTTGCAGTTGCCGTTCTGTAAAAAGTCGTCAGTTTCCATCGACCGTTATTCAAAGTCTCACATCAGGGCCACACATACTCCCCATTCTCTAGGGTGTTGTTGGCAAACTACTCTGGCGATTTCAGCTGTAGCTAGACTGCTGAAAAGAAGGACAGCGATAGCGGAGGCTTTCATCTTGGATTAAATTCTTTGTGGAGTGTTGTAAGAAATCACGATGAGAATTATTATTGAAATTCGGAGGGTGATCTACTGAAAGTGATCAAGAACACCGAGGGTATTAATCGCTTGATAGCCTGAAATCGAGGGTTGCCATTGCCTAGGCATGCCGTTAATTCACACGCTGCAGCGCCCATAATCTCACTCACGCAACTTGAAGTCGATTCCACTCTCGAATCCTGAACTGTCCCAAATTGCCTCTTTACCATGTTTTACCCCGCACCCGATGATCAGTCCTCATACTGAAAACTTTGAGTGATCTTGCAAGTATGCGAGTCAGCAGTTTCAACCCTGGTTGGTGTATTGTATATAGAAATAATATAGAAATAGGTGGGAATGGAGAGATTGAGGGGCTCTTTAATCTGTGAATGGCTTTGGACATGATTCGAGGCTTTGCTCAGTCGGAGGTTCTGTTGCACCGATGGGAATGTGTATTGGTCGAGAGTAATCTAGACGCGGATCCAAATTCGTCTTGGAACGTTGGTTCACTAAACACTCTTCGTGATCATGTTAGGAGTGTTTAACCAGCACACAAGAGGTACTTAAACTCGAGTGCGTCCCCTCAGTCTCTGCTAATTTTCGAGTGGCAAGAACCTCTCGTCAAAAAGTTTCAAATATAACCTGAGGTCTTTTTATGAGACAACAATCATAGACCCAACAGCCTGCCAGAATAAATGCCGAATAAAAGTGGTAATGGAGTAGAAAATATCGATGTTGCGCATTTCCATTCCCGAGTGGTTGATGTCAGATGCTCCCTGTAAGGTAGGGAGTCTGACTAATCCTATAATGATCTGTTGCTGGATTTTGCACTAAGCCCAGCCTCTGATGGCTGCCTGCCTTACTTACCTCCCAGAGGCCCAGCAACTACAGCTCAACATCCCAAACGACCACGGAAGATGTGGAAAGCTACCCGGCACCGCCTTCATCGTGATCGTTTTTCCGCACTTCGGTGAGCTAGTCACGATACATCTCGGGCACCATGGGACTCCCTTCCGAAATACTTGACCAGGTCCGTTGAATCTCTCTCAACTGTGTGCGGTCGGCTAATCCTGCGCCTTCGATAGGTCCTTGATGGGTTGATGGTCTACCAGCCATTGGCAAAAGTCCGAGGCGTCTACTCTCTAGGCGACTGGAAGTTTTTCACGTCACACTCAGCGCGGCTTCCTGTTAATACGCGACACGGTTCCGGCTCCTTGCAGAAGTTTAACCGGGGCGAACTGCCCCCCATCGGAGGCGGCTTCTGGAACTTGCGCTTGGTCTCGCGCCAATGGAACTCCTCCGTAATCAGAATGCTGCAGAAGCACGAATGGTGGAGCGTACCCTTTGATGATCGGAATCGTCTCGAGAAACTCATCCGAATCTGCGACGGGCCTGATGGCGGTCCATGTAGTTGGATCAGAAGTCTCAGCCTCCACGATCTCGATGGACTACGAACTTTCTCGCGGTTGTACTCGTACGACTTTGAGATGTAAGATTTACTCGTCCACCGCCATGTCCTGAGCACTCCCCGTCTTTGCAAAACGCCAGCAAGCTTACTCGAGTCTACTCCCTATATAAGAACGAACGACTGACTCAAGGCTGACGCAGGTTCGAAGGTCAGGATGTCGATGACGACTACATCATCTTGAACTCCTATGTCGACAAACTTAGAACGACAGATTGGTGGACCTCGGACCCGACACGCTCTAGGCACGAGCTCCATTACGGGAAGAACAATGAACACGCGCTTCTTCGACGCTTTTTTAACACTGTCAACCACATAGAGCGCTTCAGTGTTGAGTTCCCTGCGGCACACAGCAAACACGATCTCATGGCAAATTGTTACGACATGCAAGGCGTAGATGAAGTTTTAGCAACAGTGAAATACGGTCTGACCAGTCCGGGATTTCAACACTTAGTGGACCTCAGCTTTGCGGTGCCTTCGACGTGGCATATTGGACAATTGGCTGGTGGCCTCTCTCAAGATGTTCGGGATCGCCTTAGGAAGCTACGCTTGGTTATCGTCGACGAGACTGGACCGAGCGGAAGCGCACAATACACCAAGATAGAGGAGGAAAATAACGACGGCGATAGAACGAATATCCTGGGATCGGTTGCGCCGAGTAATGTGCAGGCAACCTATCCCAACAGAGAACATCAGGACGCACTCTGGGCCTTGGTGGCATCTTGCCCCAAACTTGAGGCACTCGGCATCGAGGCGACGCATTATCTCAACTTGGACCTTCAGCAGTGGAACAATCCCCGATTCGAATCCAAATATCTGCGCGACCTCTCGCTCCGCCGGATATGGACAAATATACCGTCGCTTCTACAACTATTGTCGGCGGTTCCGTTATCGTCACAGGATTCGGCGATCCGCCGGGTCAACTTTGACGACGTCAAGATCCACTGGGATGGGGGCAATTGGGAAGACGTTTTTGCGCACCTGAGGACGAACTGCCCTGATCTTGAGATCTTTCGCGCAGAACAGCTCAGCTACTTTTCCAACCATCCGCGTTACGAGCACAACAACAGGCAGTGGGAGAACTATAATTCTATTTGGACGGACGACTACGATGAGGACGCTAACGATAGGCTGTTCTTGCACATGCTCGATATGAAGCTTATCAAGAAGGCTGGGTCGCGGGAGGATTATCCTGTTTCGGTGTATGATTACGATTCTGAGATGGAGGAAGAAAAACCATAGGTAACCCATCGAAAGACTCAGTTGAAAAGCCGCGAAGGCTCGCAGCATACTGAACACCAGTTCACAGCGCGCACGCTCCTCTCAGACTGCATTCGATCTTTGGTCTTATTCAGAGTCTCGTGCGAGTCCGAAATATTGTGGTTCCAACCAGACAAACAGTCAAATACCTAAATGAGGTCAAACATCGCATGCATTCAGCCGTTTAATCAGGGATACGAAATCCTAGGAAGCTAGGTTCTTAACAGTTCGGCTTCGGCTCCATTGATCGAATCATCGGCTTCGGCTTCAAAGTTCATTCCCGCCCGGGCCCAAGGAAACGAGACAAGCAGAACCAGACATGATAGATGCAATGCAGAAATCGGTGTTTCGATCGACGGAGAGTCGCATATACAATATCTTTGTCGCACATTGGTCCGGTCCCTGGCAGCATGCAGAGTGCTGCCCAGAAAGCTCCCGAGTGATTCTCAATCTTGCCGGTGGTACACTCCGATCGGTGCGACATCGACTTCGGCGGCTCTCTGAACGCGATTGAGGAAGATTGATAGACCAGAATTGATGCAGAGATTCAGCGAGATGTGAAGTTATACAGAAAGGCGAGACGGTGGCACACGTACGACAGCATCGCGGCAGGTTCCCATGTACCACATCGGGTCGGCTCCGATACCCGGCACCGGAACGGGACCCCCGCTGGCCGGGATGGAAGGAACCCCCCACTCTAGGGTCAGATCCTTCGGCCCACTACAAAAACGCCGCTCTAGACAAGTCTGCAGCGGGAAAAGCAAGACACCCAGCCGGGGAAGTGGGCAATATCTCCTCCCTCCCCCCATCGCATTCGCTGAGCGGTGTTCGCGCCTGCTAATCAGGTAAGCTAAGCGGGCACATATCGGCTTGAGTCCGCGCTGTACGCTTCTGCCGCCTTTGCATACCCGCTATTGCGTGATTGGACAATGAACAATTTTTGAGGCCATTGGTATGGGCAACGGCGACGGAAGTTGGAGGGGCAGGATAAGGATCTCTCTAGTTCGACGCCCTTACTGTACACGACAAGGTATCCCGTCTTAGCGAGAGTTGAGCGTGATGCAGATGGAGGGGGGTTGAAAGCGAGGGGTTTGAGGTAGGCCGTAAGACTTGTAGGAGGGCCAACGCCGTCGCTGACAGTTGAAAAGAGTCAGCAGGTCCGGCAAACTTGGGCTTGCCAGCGTGCAAAGGCCGGGGCCGTGACCGGCGGTAAGCGGTAGGCGGGAGCAATACCGCAGCGCCATGTGCTCCTTGGGTCCTTTTTCTGCATGGCTGCTTACTACCAACGTTAATATTGTGAGGTCCCTCGGGGAACAAGGAAACGGCGGATCCCAAGAGTAGAAAAAAAAAGGTACAAAAGTAGGTACACCGATTTATTGAGTCAACGGCTTTCCGGGGCAAGGGTGAGCAGAAAAAGGCGTGCTTTCCTCGCGCTCGCGTCCCATCTCAATGCGGAATTTCTCTTTCCTGCCTTACCTGAGATTCGTCTCTTTTCCTCTTTCTCGGTGATCAGTCTACTTTTCTCCTTTCACCTCATCCCATCTCTCTTGACTCATGACATTCGCTTGCGGTCTGTCACTTATGTCATCGAATTGTGTTTCCTGAGCCTCAATCCTTTGAGACTGAACAGCAATTGTTAGCATCGGAGGACAACAACGTTGTTAGGCTTGACTTTGTTTTCTCTTGCGCGCGGTCCATCTGCAATACTCTATCTCAAATCTGCAGAATCTAGATCTCTCGAGTAAGCTTTTCAACCCCCGGCCCCATACCTACCAAGACCGCACAAGACTGATTCATGAAGGCAGATCTCCCGCCCGGTCCCATCGTGAAATTTTCTGAATGCCACCCTTGTCTGCGCTTCCATAAAACCAATTCTTCACAATGGCACCCCGGAAAGCCAACCCGGCCTCGTCGTCGGCGGCTTCAAACGTCAACCACTCCACCGAGCGCACGCCTCTCCTCCAAGTCGACGAGCCCACGACCCCTCTCCCCATCACCCCGCAAGACGAAAACGCCATCCCGCCAAACGAATTCGACCTCTTGCTCTCCAGGTCCATTCCCTCCACGGGACCCTTCCTCGAGCCCGAGTCGACCGTGAACCCCCTCCTCCGCGGTCCCCGGCGCTACAGCACGGCCTCCAAGCACCGCCGGCCCTCGCTCGCAAGCCGCTCCGACCGCGCCTCCGTGGCCGGAGGCATCGCCGCCGTAAACGATGACAGCGACAACGACGACGCCGTCTCCGTCAGCAGCAGCG